ACCTTTCTGAAGAGACAACAACCGAAACTGAGTATGGGTAGAGTTGGCAAGGGATTTTGAGAAAAATTTTGACGAAGATGCTCCCAAATCTCACAAGAAGTCGATAACCCGACGATCATAGAGATAACAGGCTCTGTAAGTGTAGCATGCAACATGCTGACAAGTGTTTGATCAGTTAGGTACCATACCAGGTAATCAGGGTTGGGAACGCTAGTAGTCACAGGAGGCACCACTGTGGATGAGTCGGAATCAACAAAGGCATTTGGTGAAGCTGCATGAGTGGTGGTGGTGATAAAGGGAGGAAGGCAAGGGTGGGTTCCATCTACAAAACGCCAAAAGTTTTGGCCAATCAAGAATAGCTTAACTTAACTTTCCCAAGGTATGTAATTAGACTTAGAAGGTTTGACAAAAATTAGTGTAGAGATATTAGGGATTGGAGATGTAGGAGAGAAAATTGCGGAAGCCATGGAAAAAAAAAGGGTAAAGTACAAAAAACTACCTCAACTATTGCGGTCATGACAGTTTCATACCTCATCTTTTAAAATTGACAATGTCATACCGCATCTTACGAATTTGTGACAATGTCATACCTCCGTCAATTTTTCTGTTAGTTTTTCTGTTAAATGCTGACGTGGCAATAGACAGGGACCACTTTATATTAAAAAATTAATAAAATATTATTAAAAACTAAAAAAAAATATTTAATATTTTTTAAATATTAAAATAATAAATAAAATTAAAATTAAAAAAAAAGTGTAAAGTACAAAAAACTACCTTAACTATTGGGATCACGACAGTTTCATACCTCATCTTTTAAAATTGACAATGTCATACCGCATCTTACGAATTTGTGACAATGTCATACCTCCGTCAATTTTTCTGTTAAGTGCTGACATGACTTGATTTGTGACCTACTTTCTATTAATAAATTATTAAAAACTAAAAATAATTATTTAATATTTTTTAAATATTAAAATAATAGTAAAAGGCCGGAAAAAAAAAAAAAAAAAAAACCCTCATTTCGTCCCTCCCCTCCCCCTCCTCCCTCCTCTCTCCTCTCTCCTCTCCCCATCTTCATCTTCTTCCCCCACCTGCAAATCCCAACCAAAAAAAAATCCAATTTGTCTTCCCCCCACACTCAGCACTCAATTTCCCCACACCTACACCCATACCCACACCCACACCCACACTCTTCTCCCTCCTGCAACCCAAAAAAAAAAAAAAAAAAAAAAAAAAAGGATCTCGTCGGTGGGAAGATGGGTGCACAAAGAAGGTGGAGGATGGATGCGGAAGAGGATGTGGAGAATGGATGAAAGTGGTAGATTTGGGGTTTGATGGGTTTTCAAAAAAATAATTTTTTTTTTCCTTCTTCTTCCGCAGGGGAGTTGATGGTTTTTTTTTTTAAAAAAAAAAAATTTCCTTCCTCCTTTTTTTCCTCTTCTTCTTCTTCCTCCTCCTTCTCCTCCTCCTTCTCCTTCTTTTTCTTCCGCAAGGGGTGTTGATGGGTTTTCAAATTTGTTTTTTATTTTTTCTTCCTCTTCTTCTTCTTCCTCCTCCTTTTCTTCCTCTTCTTCTTCTGCCTCCTTCTCCTTCTCCCTTCTTCTTCTTCCACGCCGATAGGGGGAATTTTTTTTTTCCTTCCTTCTTTTTTGTCCTCTTCTTCTTCTTCTTCCTCCTCCTCCTCCTTCTCCTTCTTGTTCTTCTGCAGGGGGTTGTTGGGTTTTCAAAATTTTTTTATTTTTTTGGGTTTGCAAGTGGGGGGAAGAAAATGAAGATGGGGAGAAGAGAGAGGAGGTGTGACATCCCACATCGCCCAGGGGAGTGATCCTTATATGTATATTCTCATCCCTACCTAGCATGAGGCCTTTTGGGAGCTCATTGGCTTCGGGTTCCGTAGGAACTTCGAAGTTAAGCGAGTAGCGCACGAGAGCACTCCCAGGATGGGTGACCCATTGGGAAGTTCTCATGTGAGTTCCCAGAAACAAAACCGTGAGGGCGTGGTATCGTGCTACGGTGGTGGAGCGGGCCCGGGAAGTGATCCGCCCCGGGCCGGGATGTGACAATTTGGTATCAGAGCCTAACCCTGATCACGTGTGTGCCGACGAGGACGTCGGGCCCCTGAGGGGGGTGGATTGTGACATCCCACATCGCCCAGGGGAGTGATCCTTATATGTATATTCCCATCCCTACCTAGCACGAGGCCTTTTGGGAGCTCACTGGCTTCGGGTTCCGTAGGAACTCCGAAGTTAAGCGAGAAGGGGGCTAGAGCAATCCCATGATGGGTGACCCACTGGGAAGTTGCTCGTGAGTTCCCAAAAACAAAACCGTGAGGGAATGGTAAGCCCAAAGCGGACAATATCGTGCTACGGTGGTGGAGCAGGCCCGGGAAGTGATCCGCCCTAGGCCAGGATGTGACAGGAGGGGGGAGGGGGAGGGGAGGGACAAACTGATGGTTTTTTTTTTCTCTGCTTTTATTATTATTTTAATATTTAAAAAATATTAAATAATTATTTTTTAGTTTTTAATAATTTTTTAATAGAAAGTATGTCCCGAATCAAGCCACGTCAGAACTTAACAGAAAAATTGACGGAGATATGACATTGTCACAAATTTGTAAGATGTGGTATAACATTGTTAATTTTAAAAGATGAGGTATGAAACTGTCGTGACCCCAATAGTTGAGGTAGTTTTTTGTACTTTACCTTTTTTTTTATAATTTTACTTTTATTTATTATTTTAATATTTAAAAAATATTAAATATTTTTTTAGTTTTTAATAATATTTTATTAATTTTTTAATAGAAAGTGGTCCCTGTCTATTGCCACGTCAGCATTTAACAGAAAAACTAACAGAAAAATTGACGGAGGTATGACATTGTCACAAATTCGTAAGATGCGGTATGACATTGTCATTTTTAAAAGATAAGGTATGAAACTGTCATGACCGCAATATTTGGGGTAGTTTTTTGTACTTTACCCAAAAAAAAAAGGATCAGAGGCTCAATACCATGTGAAGTTTTAGATTTTCATTAAACTTTAGGTAAACTTTACAAGGCTTTATACACCAAGAGGTCTACAGAATATAGGGGTCGTGTAGCAGCTATACAATACAATTAAATACAAATTACAATTAAATGATAACAACTCATCCTAACTACCCTTGTCTACAAAGGGTTTTAAAGTTAATTTCAACAAGGACGATTTGTAACCCGTGTGTGAGGATAGCTAGATAACTTACTTTGCTATGAATTCATAACTCATTATGTCTTTTCTTGTTCAATTTTTATTTTGAAACAACAAACAACTAACTTGACTCAAGTCTATTTTAATTGGTCACAACCTATCTCGATTGGCCCACCAAACTAGCCTTAAAGGCGAAGAAAGTTGTGATTACTTATGTTTGATTTAATTTAATGGATCTTCTTCACCGTTGGATACAATTTTTCTTATTGTTTCAACGATTTTAATTATAACTTCTTAAAGTTTGTTACAGTAATATAAGTATTGCTATATTGCTTTTGATTTATTGACATTAATATATTGCATACTAAATTCTTCCTAACAAGTTGTATTATATTACTTGTAAATAAAATGTTTTAGGTTTTAATTTTATAGATGAAGAGTTCAATACTAATTTACTCCTCTCAAACAACTTATATGATACAAGTATATTGTCACGTCGCATGTCGGGCCAATTAAATAAAGACATTAGAATAAAATATTTACATATATTTTTTATTGGTACGAGCACTATTCTAAAATTCCTAGCTTAACACTGTCTAGACCCCACCTAGGCGCTAGGCGCCTGTCCATCACCTCGATTAATTCATATGCGCTTGAAAGTTAAGAAATGGTGCCTAGACTTACTCAGGCGCTTACCTAGCCCACCTAGGCGCGTGCCTAACCCGCTCAAACCATCTAGGTCGTGACTTTCACGTAGACAGAAAATAGATAACTTTTATTTTGCAGTTTATGTATCCCATTGAAATTATGTATTTTTTAATTATAAGCAAACACTTACTTAAATTTGCATAATCTACCTCCCCACCTCATGCGTTAAGCGCCAACCCAGAAGTCGACTAGCGATTGACGTATTTAGAGCAGTTCCACCCCTAACACAAATGCGCCAGCACCCAGCGCATTTATTCACTTAGTGAACAGTGATAGACCCCGATGAACAGTAATAGGCCAAATGTATCTCCACCCCTAAAACTAAATAGCCTAGTCAATTTTATTAAAATATTATTAATTTTTATTATAAAATAATAATTTGACTTTTATTTTTGACCCTTTAATAAAATAAAATATTATTATTATTATTAGTATTAAAATATGCACGACGAGCGAACCAAATTGTTATCTTCATCATCCTCCTCCAATAAAACCAGAAGAGAGAGAGAGAAAGTGAGAGTGAGCTGAGAGTTTGTGCTGCAGGCTGAGCAGTTGAGCTTTGGGGTTTAATTTCTACATCTCCACCCTTGCACTTCCCTTCCATTCCCACCGCTGCCTCCAAACCTCCACACCTCCTGTCCTTCAAATATTTTTAATTTCTGCATCTCCACACCTCTTCATCGTCCGCTTCGTCCTCCCGTCCTTCTCCCTCCGTGGCTCCTTCCCTCTCGATAGCCTCAACCAACTCCACTCCTCAGCGTCCACAACAACTCCCTCTTTGGCACAAAAAAAATAATAATAAAGGTGGTCGACGTCACATTGGCGTTAACGTGGCGTCAACGTGGCGTCAGATGGGCTGGTCCCAAGGTCTGTCAATTTTGGACTGGCCTGGAGACCAGCTTGGACTGGGTGCCAAGTAATTCGCTTGGTTGAAGAGAGTTCCCTAGGTGCCGGGCTATTTTTTCGGCTGTGTGCCAGCCTATCCCCCCCTCGGAGAAAGTGCTCTTAGAACCTTGCATGTAACACGTTAGTCTAATAATGAACTCATACGATACAACGCCTATAAGTCCTTCTCCTGTCCCTACCTTTTATTATAAATATACGTTAAATTAATTTTGCCACCGCATCTTTGAAATCCTTCCTTCAAAATATCTGCCGTCCAAAAAGTTTCCTGATATAAAGTTACCGACAGCAATTGCCTCTGCTTGGCATTTGACTTGCATATAAGTCCTCCTCTCTCCCTCTGCGAACTCTGAATCGTCGATTGGAAGGTATGCCTGAGTTCTTGATCCTGTAAATTAGTCTCTGTTGTGTGATAATCGTTGCGAATGATATCGATGGTGATTTTTGTTTCCTGTTTATGGCTTGCGTAGCTTGGATCATCAACGATGGAGGATAAGCAGCAACTGGCAGGCGAGCTTGTCACTAAGTCATTCACATGGACAATCAAGAACGTCTCTAAGGTGAAAACCCAGAAGCATTATTCTGAGGTTTTCCTCGTCGGTGATTGGAAATGGTAATTTAATTTTGTGCATCCACTCCTGCTAATATTCAAATCGGTTCGAGGTTGTGTGTGTTTTGAGATGAATTTTTGTTGGTTTAGGGATTGATTGATTTTATTGTTTGGTTTGATCAGGCGGATCCTTGTATATTTGAAAGGGAACAACGTAGAGCAGTTGTCCATGTATTTGGAGGTTGTAGATGCTTCGGACTTGCCATATCTGTGGACTAGGTATGCCCAATTCAGCTTGACTGTGGTCAATCAGCTGAGCAGCAACATGTCGATAACAAAGGGTATTTTCACTATCGTTCATTTGGGTTGATTTCGCAGTTACGATTGCGTTTTTTTTGTCTGTTTTCGTTTCATTTTGTGCTCAATTCAGCTTGGATGTGGTTAATTTATGAAACGGAAATTGTGATTCTTGCATCCGGTAATGGAGGCTTTGGTTTGATTCAGTCTCACACTTCCTCCTGTAGAGTGATTATTTTTTATGATTGCAAATGGGAACCTGATTGTCATATTTTCGTTTTTTTTTTTTTTTTTGTTCCAAAACAAAAGGTTAGAATTTAACTTTGTCTGCAAATAGAAGTAAGCTCATTTTAGGATGTGGGCTTCGGGTGTAGTTAAAAGTTTTACACTTGTTTGGAATCACGGACTTGAGGGAAAAACTAAACCAGAGGAAGTATGCAATTTTGGTTCTTTTCGTTATCGGAAAAGCATTAATTAGGGAGAGAAAAATTGTGACTTTAACGTTCCAAGGATCTATAGAAGGGAGGTTTCTTTTGTAGAGAATAATGCAACTTTGAGACCCTTGGATTCATCCGATAGTTAAGATCAGAAGGAAATTCTATGTTTCCTCTTACGTGCTTGAATAACTCTACATGTATATATGGACTTGGGTTTGGTTGTGTTAAAATTAGGAATAAGCTGATGAGAGTTGTCCCACATCGGTGAGGGACAAGGTTTGCTATGTGCTTATATGATCTTGGGCTACTCCCCATATTGCCAATTGGTTTTATGGTGGAACCTCAATTTCATCATAAGCTTCCTTTGTTGTTTTTTTTATTAGTTCTTGGTTTGTTATAAATACTTTATTAATTGTGTTTCTGTGATCCTTCATGTTTTGAATTTACAGAGACTAAACACAAGTTCAATGCAAGTGAGAGTGACTGGGGATTCACGTCATTCATGCCTCTAAGCGATTTTTTTGACGGAGAACAGTTTGTTTGCAATGATAAATGTGTTATTGAAGCCAAGGTTGCCGTCCGTAAGGTGGACATAAAGAATTTCGGAGACCAAGGAACTGACAGTTCTGCACCCAGTGAGTCGGAACATTCAAGTGTGGATTCTGTGCAATTTCCACTCTCATTACCAGTTACAACGCGTACATCTGAACAGGTGCAAGCAAATGTGAAATCGGAACAGGTGCTTGCTTTCCAGGATGCACCAAGTTCCGGAGAAGTTTGCATTAAGCCTACTGATGTCCCTGTTAACCCTTCCTTAGTCAAGGGACAAGAGGAAGTGCCCCCCACACCAGCTGGTAAGCTCATGGATTTTAGGGGTTTAGGGAAAATAGAGAAAGCTTTTGTTCCACTGCTAGAGGAAGTTTGTTTGTGGCATCCCTCGTTGATTGAGTGCCAAAAGAAGAGAAGCCGTACGTATATTGAATGGGCATTCACAGCTTTAGGTCGAGTTTTGCATTTTCTGAAGACTACGAAGGTGAGGGACATGACCCCAGACACCTGTGAACACGTTCAACTTCTGTGGGAGGAACTTGAGACTTTCAAATTTGACTTGGGTTGGCTGGAACCTTATGTGCAAGCTGCTCTCGATGTGAAGAAGCTTGTGGAAAGGGCGGGGATAGTTAAAAAGCAGAGAGAGGATGTGGATGTGTTGGAGATCGAAGTGAAGAGGCTAAGGGCGAGGCTAGCGGTTGCAGAGGTGGATCTAGAAGTAGCAAAAAGAGACTTGGCAAAGGTAGAAGAAGGCTTCGGTGACACCGATATGAACAGGAAGTTAGGTTATGGGAGGCACTGACCTTATTTGAGAAACATCTCATTGATATTAAAAGTGGTGTGCAATATTTGCAGCTCATTGCAAAATATAATGTATAATGTACTTGCATTCTAGTTGTGTTCATCAGTATTTTACGGTATTTCAAGAATATCATAGCAAGCACAAATTGTTTTTTTCTTCTTCTGGAGAATTCGTTCACTTGAGCTCAATATCCGGAGGTTTATCAAACCAAATAAAGTCCAACTCATTTACTAGCGCTAACCAATTACGTTACGACCACAAACGGGAGTAGTAAGATGGGAGAACCTGCGATTAAAAGCAGCACAAACTCACCCAAAATATTTCGAATCACACCCCGAGGACCTCCCCTTCCCAACCGTTGCATTGAAGGCTCGGTCTCTATTCAATTTTAACCAACCAAAAGCCGGTTTAGACCAACTTGCCCAATTTATCATGCACAACAATATCCTATTTAATTATCATATAATAATAGCATTTTTTTAGTACAAAATCACATCCACTCTCTTTTTCTTTTTCATTGTTGCTTATGGTTTGGTGATCATGTCATGGGTAAACTCAAATGCGATCATAAGGTGCAGACTTTGGTAGATAAAACTAAAATAAGATGTTAAAGTCGAATATATCCTCCCATTAAAGTAGAATATTTATGTCATATTTTTAAAGCAGAATATCGTTGTATGAAAAAGAATAAAATAAAATAAAATAAGGAGATGTCATAGATATTATTACTTTTTAATCAGAAAGATCTTCACATTTTCCCTAGCACTGTAGTTCGGCGCTTACTGAAGAACAATTGGAAAATTGAAATAAGTAACAGGAATTTAATTTGGTGCTTAAGAGAGGAAAAGTGCAAGAAATTTAAAGGTCAAACATATATAGTGACTGCATACCGAGTGAAAAGAAGAAGATGGTAATGGATACTGCAACGATTAAGTTCTTGGTAATGAGGGAGAGATAACAACGGGCCATTTCTATTTACTTTCGATTTCAAATTATTGTAATGCTACATATGGCTCTGAGATTGTGACCTTATTTATAGGATTAGGATCATATCTTAATCAAGAAACATAATATTAGATTCAATCATGTACACATAGTATTAGGTTTTGCTTTCCATCCACAGTTTTGAATAAGATTTGATAAATACGGTTTTGAATCATTTGACATTAAAATCTTAGTAGAAAAGAATATCACTAGACCGTAATACTAAGTGACAATTCTACTAAAATTTTAAATACAAATGATTCAAAACTTTATTTGTCAAATCTCGTTAATTATTCAAAACTGTGGATTGGAAAGGAAATTAAATTTTAACCTAATATTATGTGTGCATAAACCTAATATTATGTTTGTTAATTAAGATCTGCTCCTAATCCTATAAATACCATCACCATCTCAAGGCCATGTAGCATTACAATTAGTTGAAATAGAAGTTCCACCTCAAAGACCATTCTTGTAAAACATTAGTCAAATCAAAAATATATGAGACATCTAATTGAGTTTAAAGAAATTTACAACACTATATTAAAAAAAATATTGAAATTTTATCGTGACAATTAAATTGGAAAATAGTTTCGGACTGAATTGAATTTTTTGCAAGGATGATCTAGGAATCCAGACTTACAAAGACGATTCGAATTGTTGAAGTTCGATATGAAGTAGGTCCCATGACTAATCCTTTTTTTTTTCCTTTTTTATAAAAAAATAAAATAGAAATCTCTTCCCTGAACCTATATATATTAGGTTAGTGTTGAACCATGATAATGAATTAGTTAAACAAAAAATGCTAAGGTTGTTATTTAAAACAACCCTAAATATTAAACCGTAAACCCACTTCAATTAATATGAAACAATTAAACATGACACCCTAATGAGGTGTAACTTTCTTTTTTAATATAATAAGACCCTCACCGATTTTTTTTTTTTTTTAAAGTAAGAAAAATATATGAATCTCTTTTGGTTGTTGCATTAGGTCGAAATCCTTGCAAAACAAACACTAGGATATACTCCATTCAGAATTTACTGGTAATTTCTTGCATACAAGAAACTCGACATATTGTTAAAACTTAAAATGTACTGATAACTTATTACAAACATATTCAAATACTTTAATTTCAAGAACTATTCAATCATAAGTTCCTTTGAAAACGAGCCACTTTCACTGCAATTGCTAACATTGCCTTATCCTTGATGGCATCAAACCATCGAAAATAAGCATGCCTCCATGACTTCTTCAGAAACAATGTGCCGCAAACGCTCCAAAAGCCTACAATAAAGCCGAGTGTTGAGCTAACAAAGAACCACAACTCATCATGTCCATCTTCATTGTCATTGTCTTTTGGATCCTTGGTTGTCGGATTGCCACCTTCCGAGCATGCAATAGAAAGAGGAAACCCGCAAAGTAACGGGTTGCCCTCGTAAGTGGATTCGGGCAGTGTTTGCAGCTGGTTGCCCAAAGGAATTCTACCACTCAAGTTGTTATTCGATAGATTCAAGTAGGACAAGAAGGTCAAGTACGAAAGGCTCTGAGGAATCTGTCCCGAAAGTTGGTTGAGCGAGAGATCAAGATTTTGGAGCAGCACCAACTTTCCAATCTCCAAGGGAATGTCTCCACTTAATTGATTCATTGATAAGTTCAAGTTGTTCAGCAGGACGAGGGTGCCTATTTCTTCAGGGATTTCACCTTCAAGGTTGTTCACAGAAAGATCAATGCTTTTTACAATCATCAGAGATGTGTTATACTGGAGTGGTCTTGATCCTTTCATCACTGTTGTTTGTTGATCGTACTCCAGATATATATTATAAGCATTGTAATAAGCAACTTTCAGAGCAGTGACATTATTCAGGCACTTGGGAATGGTCCCTGAAAAGCTGTTGAGAGCAAGGTCTAAGATGTGGAGGTTCTCGAGATTACACAACTGTTGTGGGATATGTCCACTTAGAAAATTCGACCTCAGTCTTAGGATTGACACGAGCGGCGCATTCAATCCTATCCATGAAGGTATTTTCCCAGTAAATTTATTGTCCCCAAGATCAATGTTCCTCAAAGAAGTGCAGTTTTCCAAGGAAAGAGGAATTTCACCTTCGAGATTATTGTTGTTCATCTTCAACAAGAAAAGAGAACCCGAGGCACCCATTGAACTAGGAAGCTTGCCTGAGAGATTGTTGTATGCAGCATCTAGAATCAGTATGTCGGGCAACAAACTGCATTCTCGTGGGAATTCTCCAGATAACTGATTGCTTCTTAGAGAAAGGACGAACAAGTTTCTCATGTTGCAAATGGAGGGCGGAATGGTACCGTTCAAATGATTTTCTGCAAGATAGAGTGATTCCAATTTGGGAAACTTTTGGTCCAAATTCCATGGGATTGGCCCGGAAAATGAATTGATTTCAAGCTTAAATCGAACCACATTGTCTCCCGACCAAAGTGGTAATGGCCCATCAAATTGGTTATGACTCAAATCCAAAACCAGTGCATATGGGAATTTCAATTGGAGTGGAAGTTTTCCATGGATTTGGTTGTAAGATAAATCCAAGTACTGAGCTTGGGAAGATATCTTCAAGAACCAGTCCCCGGGTATGGAATCCAAGATTCCAGTAGCATGAAGTTTGACAAAAAGGAGTTCAGTTTGAGATTGCAGCCATAACCCAAAGGTAGGACCTACTTTACAGCAGCCAATGATAATTTTGTGAAGCATGAAAGGAGGAACCCAATCATAAGACACTTTAAAAGTGAGGGGAATAGGTAGAGTTGGCTGTGGAAGTACACTGCCTACTGCAAAGTATTTCAATCTTGTGAGATTTATGAAATGGGATTCAGTTAAAAAGCCTTCCCACGGATTGAACGATAGATCGAGGTGAACTAGCTGAGAGAGTTGCCCTAAACTTTCAGGAATTGACCCATTCATTTTATTATTGTAGATGGTAAGAAACTTCAAATTGTGTAGCATCCCTAAAGAGGCAGGCAATTGGCCATTCAACATATTAGAAGACAAATCGAGTGACTCTAAAACACTATTGGGACAACTTGATAAACCACCCAAAAGCTCTTGAATCCCCCCATCAAATTGATTTTCTGCAAGATTTAAGATCTTTAGATTGCAAAAATTCCCAAGAAGTTTCGGAACTTGACCCTCAAGGCTATTGAAAGATAAGTCAAGGTGTTCAAGGGATTTGAGGCTTTCAAATTCACTTGGAAGGGGACCACTCAAAGAATTTCCGCTTAAATCAAGTTTTCTGAGGTTAGCCAGATTGAAAAACCATTCAGGAAACGGAAACGTCAAATTGTTGTATGACACATCAAGGATCAAAAGTGATGAAAGGCTAATATTTCCTGGTGAAAGTGGTGGAAGGCTTTGAATTTGGCATGATGACAAATGTAACTCTACTAGGAAAGGAAGCATGTTGACAACATTTAGCCAACTTACCCCGGTGTTGCTGAGGTCCAATCCTTTGAGGTTGAGGTACTTTAGGGAAGAGAGACGAAAAAGCCAATTCAGGTTTTCGGAAGGGAGTTCAAGCATGGAGTATACAGATTCTTCGCTAAGGTCAAGATAGTTCAAGTTTTGCAAATTACCAAGATGAGGTGGAATGTCTCCTCCAAATGAAGCAGATGAGAGATTGAGATACCTCAAGCTTTTAATCTGACCAAAGAACTCGGGAATGGAAATCCCTCGAAAATCATTCCTGCTTAGGTCTAGGTAATTCAAATGTTTCAAGCTAAGCAAAGAAGGATTTACCTTACCACCCAAAGAAGAGTACTCCATCTCGTCCCCCTCTCCATCAAAAGCAGAAAGCGTATGCATATACGCATTCTGGAGATTCATCATTTCAACACGACCCGTGATGTTATTGCATGAAATTCCCTTCCACTGACAGCAGTCAAGTCCAACCCACGAAGAAAGCCTCCCGGAAGGATCAGTAACGTCTTCTTTGAAGGCGAGAAGCGCACGTCTTTCTTCGTCGATGCATGAGTTCACACTAGTGTGTAGATATGAAGAGGCCAAAAACCAGAGGAGCAAATAGTGAGCCATTTTGAGGTGAGAAGGGGGGTTGAATAAGTAAGTTGCAAAGCTAGCCATTATCGTACAAGGTTCTCTTTGCTTTGGTGGAGATAGCTTCTTAGCACAATACTTGAATTTATGATTAAGATGATGCCTCCCAACTTCCAAATTTTCAAAGTCTTCAACCCATTTTACAAGTTGTTTATTATAAAGAGTAAGATTATGTCCCCTCCTTTTTTTTCCTCCCTTTTCCTTCCATCTTATTTGAACGGTTATGGTTAAGGCACGTTAACATTTTATGTTTATTTTTTATAGAAAGAAAAAGATAAAATAAAGAGTGTAAGAGAAGAGAATGAAAGAAGATGGAAAGAGAAGAGGAAAGAATCTTATTCCTCACTGTAAAGTTCAACAAAAGTCTGTACTAGATAGACTAATAGACAGAATAATAGGACAACAATCCTATACGTTTTGGGAACCAAAGTCTTTGATTGGGACGTGGGTTTTGAAAAAAAAAAAAGGCAGCAAAGGCATTGACTTAGAATTCACGAGTCTTGTTCAATGGTAATCAATAATTGTCTAATTATAAATGGTTTATTTGTTGATAATTAGCTAATGACTAGAAATAGTGCCCGCGCGTTGCTGCGGGATTACAAAACGGATATTAAGAATGATGAAGTTTGAATCAAAGGTGTATAGCGGCTTGTGAATTCAAACAAAACTTTGAATGAAAGTAAAGGAATAGGAAAAAAAAAATGGCACATATCATTTGTTTGGTGTTAACCAAAGTCATTTAAGAATGTCCATTAAACTGTAAACGACAATAGAAATTGAGGATCAGAAAAAATTAGACAAAATCACATATTTAAAATGAAAGATTAAAGCTGCCCAAATACCAAACTATTCATTAAAAAGACTGAAAATTTAAGAATTAGATGAGTACATCAATGAGTTTTGTAAAATGAAAGCAAAAAAACTTTTTGTTACGTCAAAATTTGATGTCATTGAATCAAACTGAAAGTATAGTAATGTTATTAGATTTTTTACTTCAAAATTTGATGTAATTGTTTAGGAAACCACTTTTATATGCATGAACTTCATCCTATTACCAAATGGCTATTGGAAATGGTTTGAGTTATAAAACCTGACTCTTATCAGTAGCTAGGATCAAATGCTAGGTAAGAAATTCTTCAAATCAAAGCAAAAAAACTAAATGCCTGAACGGGTTATATACCTTCAATAAACATTGATCGTTCTTGAAAGTGAAGAAGAACGAAACCAAACAGCGATTTGAAGCATCTGATTACAGAGACAAAATCTGTAGGATGACAAAAAGAGAATTTAAACGTAAAATGTATGTGTAAATGAAAAATCTAAAAAAGAAAAACAATAAAACCAAAATGAGAAAGATCAAGAAAAGAGACCTTACCATAGTTTGGACGAACGTTACTTCAAAACAACTGCAGGTGGGAAAGTATACTTAACATCATGCTGAGAAGATGTAGAAATGGCATGATAAAACATCGACAGCATAAAAAATAGAGAGCTCACAAAAGGGTTATAAAGAAAATGTTTAATTTGTACAATGCAGATACAAAAGGTTAAAAGTTGTTTATTTACATACAAAAAAATATTACAGACATGTGTTCGATTTTAGCACTTGGAACCAGCTTTCAAGCGCAACCAGCATTCGGATACAAAAAATTGGCAAGTACTGGTCTATTTACAGGCAAAATATACTACGAAGTTCAGTTTAGAGAGATATTTACATCGCAACCAGATAAGATAAATATTGTTTGATACATATTAACAAAAAACCATCAGAATTTTTGGGCATTGCGGTCAACTTCTGCTATTGCACCGTCCATTTTTGAAAAACCAACCTAGTGAAACGAAAGAAATTAAAAGGGTAAGATCGTTATTAAATATCTTGTTTAAAAAAAGAAAAAAAAGGTAACGTTAAAATATAGTGACCTAGCTTCTTTTTGGAGGAGTGGAGTTCAACTTTTCACCAGTTGGGGATGACTTCTTCTTAAGCAATTTGATTGGCACTTCATCCAATTCTCTTAGATCTATGTCTGAAATTTCCTCGGCTCCACTATTTTAAATGGGTTTTCCCAATGTTAAATAGTATGAATATATGGAAATTTAAAATTTATAGTTGCAAAAGTTGTTACGGCACAAACCTTTGTTCGCCGGCAGTAAAAAGAACTCTCCTAATTGATTCCCTCTTCCGTTTATCTGATTGCTCAGTGGTAATTTCAGCTGTTGAAGTAGAAGATGAAACAGTGGTGGAGGACACTGTGAGTTGTGTTGACAAAGGCGCGGAGTTACTGACTGCATAGTCATATCCTCAGTCACATTATGAATGAGTACATCGTTCGTATTAAAAGTGTAACATCCCGTCCCGGGATTTACGTAAGAAAATGGGTATTTTTGTATTTTCACTAAGTTTGGGGATACTTTCCATTTTAAAATTGTTTTTGAGCTGGTGAGCCCAAGGGCCCACCCCCTGTTTTGTTCCCGGTTCCCTATCCCTTTCCCTTTTCCTTTTTTCTGAAAAGTCTCTCTTCTCTCTTCTCTGTTCTCTCTTTCTTCCTCTGTGATTTCTCCATCCCCCCTCTCAGTCCGACAAGAACACACACACACACACACCCAAGCCCACACCTATAGCTCTTTTCGAACCCCATGGTTGTGTTTTGGACGTCAGATCACGAAGAAACCACCTCGGAGACATTTCCCAGTTTTCCGGCGAGCACCGTCCCTTTCGAGGCGATTTCCGGCCAAACCACGGCGAGTTGGCCGGCGTGCGAGGTACCAATCTCTTCGTCTCGCTGAGTACTACAACTTTCCTTTTTGTTTCACCTAATTTCATTGAGTATTGAAGAAGTTATGCTCATTTGAATCTTACCCAGTTTCCGGCGGACACCCGTGGCTTCCAAGCTGTTTTCCGGCCAACTCCGGCCACAATGACGGGAACCAAGGGTATATTTCGATTCCTTACCTTCGGGGCTTCAATTTGGTATATTGAATGACATGTTTTGGTTGAGTTTTGAGCTCCAACGGAGCTTGGGAATTCTCAGGCCGAAACCGGCCTTCTCCTTCCTTGGACTCCGGCGAACACCCGAGGCCTTTGGGCCTTTCCTGCCAAGCCCAAAACCTGGGCAGCCCAACCCAACACCCTTTGTAATTGGGCCTTTGGGCCGTATGGTTTCTAACCCAAACCCACTTTCCTTCTAACCCAAACCCAACCCACCTAAAACCTAAACCCATATACCCTAACCCAAACCCTAAAGCCCAAACCGTTGACCCGGACCTTGACCCGTTGACCCGGACCCTGACCCGTGGACCCGGACCCGGACCCGGACCCTGACCCGGACCTTGACCTGTTGACTTGACCGGTCAACGGTCAACGTTGACTTTGACCTCGGGGTTGACTTTTTCGATTTTCGTGCGGGACCCCTCCTAGGCTAATTTCGACGTTCTGAACCCGTTTCCGATGTCCGTTTTCCCAAATTCAATCGTTTAAGTAGAGTTTGACTAAATGTACCATTTATGTGCTTAGGGGCACTTATCGATGGCGTTCCTTCTTCGCTAGATGACGTGGTTTTTCGACGGCGAAGTACTGTAAGTGGACCCCTTCTAAAAATACATGTTTTGATAGTAGAAATGCATACATGAAAAGCATGATTTGATGATTATGTTTTATGAAACGTTTTACGAGATAACATGCTTACTGAGGCTAGTTTGAATTATTACTATTTTTCCTATAACCCATGTTCTTATAGAATATCTGATGGATGACGATATGATATTTAGAACATGTTTAGAACACTTCTTTATAGTATAGATGATGGATGACTTTATACTATGAAGTTGATTTTCAATATATGTATGTTCACTGGTTTTATACCTACCTAGTGGTCCTTTCCGCTACGGGACATAGGGATAGATCCGGTCCGTCCCGGGCGACGGTTTGGTGTTGGCATAGGGCCTGGAGTGTGTTTTCCTCTGACTGTCTGCTCAGAGACGGGGAGCCGGCATGGGGCCTGAAATGTATTTTCCTCTGACTGTGTGCTCAGAGACGGGGAGCCGGCATGGGGCCTGAAGTGTTATATCGAACATTCACTAGTGTTTATTATTTATGCGAATTATGATTTGAGACATTGCACGACATGCTAGGTTTCGGAAAACCTATGTTTATCATTATATATAGGTGTTTTCATAAAGCCTGGGGGTTAGTATGTTGATAACTGTTTTATTATATATATATATATATATCAACTTGGTCCACTCATATTTGTTTTGCGCCCCCTTCAGGACTTAGAATCGAGGCATACAATCCCGACGTCCAGGCACTTCCGTATCAGCATCTTCGAGTCCTCTCGGTGTAGGACCCACTCTTTTGTTTCATTCAATTTTATATTATTTTCTTTTAGTGTTCTAGATTAGTGATGTGCTCTGAACACGGTCCTTATTTGCATATTCATTATTCTTTTATATTTATAAATCTTATTTATCCTTTGTTTTCAGCATTTGCACTTAATAAATGACTTTCGTCACCCTCGGGTGTCGGCCAGCATGTGCCTATCCTGGTATTCGGGGAATATCGGGGTCGGGGCGTGTCAAAAAGTATTCCTCCTATTGCCAAATCGTAAGTGAAAAACATTCTTTTGTCCAATAAGCCTGAGAAACTCGTTTGGTAATAGCTGCTGGTCCACTAGTCTCTGATTCATTACCAGGTCTTTGCAAGGCATGCCAAAAAGTTTCTCGCCGCATTTACCGATTATCAAAGCATTCATTTCATTTGTTTCATCTTTGAGAATGAGATTAACTTTGTACCTACATTTAGAAACTCAACCTTATGATAGTTATTGAGAATCACAAATTGCCACAAACTAAATACCTAAATAAGTAGAACTAAAACAGATCACACAGAGGTAGTAACTTTATTGAATTATACAATGATCATATGTAACCAAATATAACAAAAAAGTAAAAGGAAAACGAAAGAAAGGGGAAAAAGAAAGTTTTGCCACAGCAGGAAATTTTTTTTATAAGATTTAGGTTTATATGATGTAAATGAGACAAAAACACAAAGCAAAGAGAAAAGAATGGTAACAAAAATAATTTTTCAAAGAACATCATGTTTGGGAACCATTCTGGACATCCATCGCAAAAACACTTCACAATCGAAAATTTAAAATTTTTTAAAGTGTGACTGCATAAAAAATGAAACTAAATTTGTATACTCCGTACTCAATGTCATTAGCCTTCTCTGTATCTATTTGTTCCAATTGGCTAACAACAACAAACCATAAGATACCCAGAAAGAGCCAATTTTTTTATTAGGTTCGCTTTAAACATTTGATTTAACATTACCAAGGCGCTGGAATTTGGTTGGGATGTTTTTGGCAAATGAGCTGGCCACTGGTTAGATCCTTGTGCATCTGTTTTACATAGTGCGGGCAAGCATTGTACCACCAATCGAAGCACGTGTCAAAACGCTTAACAAATGCTTTGCATAGAAATGTGTCGTCTTGTAACATATTTTGTCACTTATTTGTAAAAGCCATAATGACAACACAATTAGTTCTATTGAAAATGTTAAAATTGAATTGTCAAGTTTTAATACCTTGTGCAAGTCCGGATCCAAAAACGCTAATTCATCAATCGTAACCCTTTTAGCAGTCTGCAAAATTTCAGCTTCGTTTGCTTGTTTCGAAGAGGGAGGGAGCATTTTCAAACGTTCTGTATAATCAGAAAACCTGCAAGCATCAAAACATTTTATCAGTTTAACAATTAAAAAAAAAAAAACACAAACCATACTCCACCAAAAAGAATTAACAGAGTCTTATTTCGTTTTGACAATGAGAAATACACTCACACTGACTTATATGCATTGACTTCAGGGATGTCTAGATCAATAAAAAAAAGGGACGAACCAATACTGTTTAAAGCAATCTTATCTGCACGTTGGAATCACAGCACCAAAAAAATATATATATATATATATATATATTAATAAAGGTGGCTCATCACATTTTGTGACAAAATCTACATAATAGAGATAATGTACAATACGTAGATACCCAACCGTTTAAAAAGTTTTCATAAAATCGTGGGACAATCAGCTGTATGATGTGGTGCATTCCAAACCAACTAAGTCATTCATAACACAGTATTTATCATTTTCTAACTGTAATGAAACACTGATGCTCAAATATACTTGACAGACATGGTTGAATAAAAAAGAAAACAAAGTAAGAAAGAGATCAGTAGCAATCAGTAATGACTGATATATTAAGATGCTTCTAAACTAATTGACGACAATGAAGAAAAACATATAATGACAAATGGGAGCAAAGACAGAGAATAAAAGTGCAAAACGATATAACATCTATAGAATTTAAATGAAACAACATTTGTAGACACCAAAATAAATAAGCCAAAAATAAGTTTTTAAGAAAATAGAATACTCAAGTAAAGCTTTACTTTCAGACTTGTGAAAACAACAACGGGCAAAGAAAACGCGTCCATTGACAAAGAAGAAAAGGCTTCTCCAATGTACCCCCACAACGTAACCATCACTTCCTCTTTCCTGTTGACAAAGGGAACAACGAATAAACTTATCACTTTTTTTTTAATGCAACAGATTAACAAATATTGAAAAAAAATGTGACGAACAACCATATGAAACAAAATATAACCTTATATTCTCGATTCGGACATCACACTTGTATGCAATCCTCTGATTAATCTGTTTGGATTCAAAAGGCTGTATAGCGCTTATACGTCTAATGACATCTTATTATTTAAAACATAAACAAAGTTAAATAGCAATTTGGAAAACAAATGCAAACACACTTGAACCCATGCATTGCACATCCATATATAGATTAAAAGTACCTGTGAGAATGTCAACACTGTTCAAGCGAGGGTAAAGTGTGTTATAATCTTGCAGAAAAAATCAATGGCGAGGGATAGGAGGGAAGACGCTTGCTAATTTTTGAAACACTGTTTTCGAGTTGAACAAAATCAAGGTTTCATGCGGTACTGCCTTGTATTGTGCCCTAATTTTAATAGTCCGAAAATCCATGATTTCATAACATCCACCGGCTTCAATTTTGGAGGCCATAACATCGTGATCACCATCTGATGTACAGCCCTCTACCGCATGTTGCTTCATTGTTACCATAAAATAAACACAACAAATCAAAACAGTTAAATAATTTGAGGCAAGATGTAAAAATAAATAAATAAATAAAAATCTAGGGGGGCACAAAAATTTGCGATAGAAAACACCACACGTTCAACATAACCAAAGAGGCCGAAAAATTGAGAAAAAAACACGAAGACATGAAACAGATGGTTGACACATACATTTCGCTAACCATAACACAACTAATTTTAACCATTCGACATGAACATTATTTTACTCAATTAATTGTCATTGCCTCTACTTTTGATTAAACTAATCAAACAATGATTCCTTACCGCTTCATCGACGAACACACAGTGCAGGGCAGTGTACTTCTGAATAGTTCCTAGGATGATGGATTTCCAAATTCTGCATATTCGAACTTTGATTTTGTCAGCCTTCATGTATGGTATTAACTGATTAACAGGAGTTGGGCAAATGTTTTCCATTTATCCTATGAAGAGGAAATTGCACCGACACATTAGAAATTCCCACAAACCCACAGAAAGAAAAAACAATAAAAATTATAAATGATGTGCAATCAACTCATCCATGCTGTGAAACAAAGAGACAAAGAGTTGATCACATAACTAAAACGGCTATCATGAGGCCAAAAAAAAAGGGAAAATTTTCAAACAAAAGATGTGAAATAAAAAAAGAAGAAAAAAATTCAAATGGTAGAGATCCTCGACATCTGTATCAAAAGGTTATATTTATTAACCAAATTATTAATACAATTCTTGCATCTTAATATGTATCTAAATATCTCCACCTTCATTTAGCAAAAGTCATGTTGGCGGTGGCGTTGTAGAGGGGACGAAGAATAAAGAAAAATCAAAACAGAAAAATAGACAACTAATTCATGAACCAATACCAACTCCCTCATGCGAAAAAACCCAAAGTCTCAAAAACTACAAACCCATAACAGTTTCATCAAGTGACTAACCTCAAATGCTCACCTGCAACGACACTTCTTACACCCTCTGTCTCTTTCCCCAACCTCTGCTTCCCCAAATGACGCACCTAGACCTCTCTCGCCACAGGAGTCAACTCCTCTGACAGTTTAAAACCCTAAAATCCATTCGAACCCATTAGCTAAACAAAGAACATCACAAAAATTAAACGATGAACTGGAAAAAAAAACCAACGAAGTCCACATCTCTTTAAACGCAACAGAAGAAAACCCTTTCACAGTTTAAAACCCTAAAATCCATTCGAACCCATCGACCAAACAAAGAACATCACAAAAATTAAACAATGTACTGAAAAAAACCAACGAAGTCCAGATCTCTTTAAACGCAATAGAAGAAAACCCGTTCTGCAAACCAACATAAAAATCCGCAAAGGAAAACAAAAATCTAAAAGAAAATCAAGCACCACAAAGTTATCAGAAGAAGGAAGCACCTGCGACGTTCTGAAAACCATGGTTGAGAAGAACAAAACACAAAAGCGCACCAAAGAGAAGCACACAACGGGAACCAAAAGAAAAGAGAAGCTGAGAGCGATAGAAAACCACCAATGCAAGGGAGAAACGGAAACAAAAAGCAAGCAAAATAAACCCCAAAAGAGAATAGCACGATGACCGACACGTGTCACACACAATTCCCAACTTGTCCCTGCACGAACCACCAAAAACAATCAGAAGGCATGAAAAAGCCTGAGGACAATTTGGCCAGTGGAAAAGAACCCACCCAGCGCGGGCAAAGTAGAAATTTTACTATAGAAAAGGAAGAAAGCAGCGCCAAAACCCAAACAAACCAGGGGCAGATCCGTCCAGACACTATTTCTGAACAGTGCTGGTTTCAACTGGCTTTTAGTATATATAACTAGCTAGTAATGCCCGCGCGTTGCTGCGGGATTACAAATTCCAAGAATAACAAATTTGTAAGTGGAAGTACCCCGTTGAAAGCCTTCTGGAAGCAGTATAACACCTTTTGGAACCTTTGCCTCATTCTGGTCCGGGGTGCATAATGTGCAAGCAATTTAAGCATTTCCCAGCACCACAGAGCATCATATTTCCTAGGATTAATCAACAATGCCTCCTCCAGCTTTGAAATAGCATCTGGGCAAACAAACACAAATCCGCATTTACAGATTTTCACTTCACTCCCAAATAAATAATTAATAAAAATAACATGGAGAATTTCTACATCTAAATAATTAATAAAAAAAGGATATTTCGGGGAAATTCAAAGTTAACACCTTGAGTTAGCTTCTTTGATTCCAGTACATTCCAAAACTGAGACAGATTGCTCTCCATTTCCTGTCATAATACAGACATGCAGTTTCAATTTTTTGATCAACATAGTCGACATCTTTTACAGTCGGTTAGATTGCATCTCCTTACATGATTGAGAAAACAATTGAATCACAATTAACATTTGTTAACAAAAATTTTAAATCATATATCCAATCTCACAGAGAGATCACAATGAAACAGTTGTTATCTGGCGGTGAAACTTAAAAACCAAAAATGCACCTTAATGTCCTAGAGAGAACAGAATTGCAAGCAAAAGTAGGATATTGAAACAATATTGTGATAATCACGAAATAAGTTCATGGGTTTGCTAATATTGATTTATTAGGTAATTTAGGTTCCAACTTTGTCTCAATTTATCATTTTCTGTTAAACTGAAAGTGTAAACATTTAAGCACTTACCAAGAAAAAAGCAATTAATTATTTGATGCTACTTACAAAACCAATTGGCATACATAGGCTTTGATTAAAAGGTTAAGTATTTACCAAAAGATTCCAGCTGCAAAAATGCATGGAATATCTACAAAGTGTTTGATAAATCCAGAATTTAATTCCTTCTCTTCCTTCATTTTCCTTGCACCCAAGAAAAGAAAAGCAATTTAGTGCCAAACTTTAAAAAGAACCTGTAAAATCCAGAGCAAGCATTAAAGAAAGTTAACAGTGTAGGAAATAAATGTTTGCCCAAATAAAAAAAGGAAAGACGTTTCCTAGCTATATTTCAAAGTATTCTAAAAAATGGAAAGATGTTTCCTAGCTATATTTCAAGCAAGCTGATATACACAGAACATATCAATTGTATCATACACATAAGTCAAAGAAAAGCATTAGAGCTAATAATAAAATGGAAATGAAAACCTATTAACCAATTTATTAACAAATTTTTTGTGTAGATCGCTAACTCGCTATTCTTAATTTATCAAATTGATTAAAATTACTAATTCTCTTATATCTATCAATACCCCTCCCACCCTAGAACAATAAACAAAAAAATTCTCAATTTCTTATATCTCACAAAGAAAGTCACATGCATGTCCATTTCAAATCTTACAACCAAAAGAAAATATCAGAGTTTCTTAGTTTCTTACCCAAATCCACCAATATGAATCAAATCTCTACACCCCAGCTTGAAATCTGTCTGAAATCACTTGCACGAACACAAATCTTATACATGCAGAACAGTTTAGGTGAAGTTGAGGGAATAGGTAGTAATGAAATTAACAAACAACCAAATTCCAAACGAATAATTAATTGTTAGATGTAGATGTACAACCCGAAATTAACACTAATAAAAAATAGCACTTGAATAAAATGCATAAACAAAAGCTGTGCTAACATGAGAAAACATGCAAAACAAAACAATGTTAAATATCCTAGGTGTTCCATTTATAATTATTCTCCATTTTTATATATTTAAACTACCAATTATCTGCATAAATATTTCATTCCCTTACAACTACCACAACTATATATAAAACATACTTAATAGAGCATGTAATTGATTTAATTACATCATTCTTTAAAAAACCCTTGGGTGGGAGCTGAAAGGCTGCCATATTTCATTAGTGCATAAAAGCCAATAATTTTATCCACTGTGATTATTTTTATGATTTGCATTTATTTAGAATTCATAAATGCAGGAAAAGAATTATAGGAACTTAAAATTTTTAGAACAAAGAAAAACTATGCATGTATTGTGAACTCTATGTACAGAGCCTTTACATGGCCAAAAGAAAACAAAACAATCAGTAAGAGCTCTTACATGCACAGATCAACAAAGAAAATTCATCAGCATTTTCTTACCCTTTCTTTCACAAAATCTTGTCTTCCAACCAGATCCTGCTATCTAATCCACACCTTGTCCTGTACATGAAAATACACTCCAAATGTAAATTTCAAAGTTGTTGTAATTTAGAATCATCCTGCTAAGATAGGCAATCCAAGATAATGCTACTCTTTAGTCTGGATTTTAAGTCTTCAAATTCAGAAACATTTCTGGAACGAATGAAATTATCTAGGACCATCATTCAAATAGAAACTCTTGCCCCTTCATTTGATTAGATAGTGCTCTAAATTAAAACCCAGCAATCAATTCGCAAGCTACTCCAAGTAAAATCTAAAGCAACCCACTCTAAATTTATAAGCCAACAATCCAACATTAATAACAAAAAAAACAATGCAAAAAGCAGAACTCATATGAAAAGACATTGAACAATAGCTTAAATCCAAAGCAACAAAGAATAATCTAATAACAAAAACCAATAACAAAGGACAGAGTTTAGCAACTGACCTTGAAATATAATCCAGAAAAACAAATTGAAATAATCAAATTCCAAACCAATCTCATAATTCTGCAATGGAGAAGAAAATATTAGAGATATTAACATAGATTTTTTGGTTTGTATAGTTGGGAACACTTTGCAGAACTGGAGAAAAATGTGTACCTGATCAGTTTGTACTGCCCTATCCGGTGGATTCTATCTTATGGTTGCCTCTCAACAGCTGGGTTCCACCACGGGTAGATTAACAAAACCTATTCTAAAATGCGATGTCTTTAAATCACTTAATCCCCATCTGTATAAGTTAATTCTCAATAATTTAGACACGAAAACAGAAGACATTACTCACATGCGATGCAATTGTCAGATGAAGAGCAACTCCTCTTTCAAGCTCATTCAGAACATGATACAATCTGGATCCTCAGTAAATCTCTTGCAGACATAGTCATGCTTCCAAACAACTGAACACAATTGATACCAAATTGCAACAATTTCTTTAAATTAGTCATAGTTATCTATTGATGCACAAATATAAAATTTTGTATATATTCAGTTTCACCTTTTGCAAGGAGTGGTTAATGATATCCAAGAACGATGCGAAGACATATCGTGAGTTAAACTATCTATGAGTTGAACAAAACTAAAACGCATTGTACATCGCAAATGAAATAGCCAAAAAGCAAATGAAATAGCTAAGTTACCATTCTTTGTCTTAAGCATCAAAACTCGCATTCCACCAGGTACCTTTCCACTTCTTCATATCCTCTGCAACAAATAAACTATATCAACCTTTTTACCCATCCTAAAAAATACTTGAAATCCGATCCACATGCTAAAACACACCCAAAAAAAAAAAAAAAGCAACCTAATAAACTTAATTATATATGATTATTTCACCACATAATTCAAATTAATTGATGAAAAAAATTTAATTAATTAAACTGAGTTAAATATTAAATATAAAAACCAATAATAATTGTGATTGTCCATTTCCTGTTCCCTGGGCTTTCCACTTGGAGTTCAAGATAGCACGAAACCACCAAAAAAAAAACTATTCAATTTCTAAGACCAGAGCACAAAACCAAGCAAACACCGCCACCTGCAACAGAAACAACACAGTAAAACAGAGTTCTAGAGAGAAAAAAACAGAGGACTTCAATTTTACATCGATCGAGCAATCGATCTAGATGAAAACCCTAAACCTCGAAGACCAAGATTTCCTAAAACAAAAAATCGAATTAGATGGAACAGCCACACACAAATCATCGAAACAAATAAGAAAAGATTTGAAAGAAAAAACTCACAGACCTTAATCAGGGGTTTGCAAGGTTGTACAAAAAACCCCTAAAATTCGCACACCAATTTTCCTGAAACAAAAAAACCCAATCAGATTAAACAACCACACTGAAAACACAAATTTTCTTCCCAATCAGAGAAAAGATAAAAAGATAAAAAATAAAAAATAAAAAAAAGCAGAGAAACCACCTGAAACAATACAATCAGCCGGAAAAAGAAACTCTTCACACAACACACGATCGACGATCGACGCGGCGAGAGAAGCAGGGAAACACGAAGGGTTGACACGGGGAGAAAAGCACAGAGAGGAAAGAAAGGAAAAATCGACGGAATAAAATGGAAGAGCCTTCGAGCACCTTCCTCACCAAAAACGAAGCAACTGGAGATATGCGAGAGAGAATAGGCGAAAGCAAAAGAAAGATCCAGAATAACCAAAGCCAAAACATACACGGATGATGGACGCGTGGAATCAAAAGGGCAAAACAGCCCTTTCACTGTACAGAAGCCGAGAGAAACCCAGCTGAGAAAGTTATTTGGAGGGCATTTCCGCCCTTTTACTATTGCTGAACAGTGCCGGTTTCAACTGAGTTTTAGCATATATAATGTGTGAGGAGTGGCCGGCAGTCTGATGCTAAATTAATATTATTATTAATAATTTATAATTTTTTTTTATTTTTTTTTGTTAGAAAATTTAGTCTTCTTCTCTGTGCATTCTTTGAAGTTGGTCTGAATGTGCATTTACCGCGAATCTTTCTATTGAACTTTCAACTAAGTTCCAAACTTGATCACAATGTTCTTTGAACTTTATCTTTTTTCTTATGTCGTTATCCTTTTATTTCAACTTTCAATTTCTCCCCACTAAACGTTCATGGTTCAAAGGCATTCTTCTAATATTAAAATTATGGATTAATCTTAATTTACTACTTTGAAGTTCATTGATTTTCAACATTTAATACATCAAGTTTTTCATCAAAATCTCTGTTAACTGATGACGTGACGTTTACATGGATACTGACTAGACGTCACGTGTCAATATAGGCCCATGTAAATTTTTAAAAAAAATTTTAATTTAAAATTTAAAAACTAAAAAAATTTTAAATTAAAATTAGAATTAAAAAAACCTACCCGAATAATTTTACACCTTTCTGACTTCTTCTTCCTCGGCCACACACACCCGCACTCAACCTTCAGATCCTCACCCCTCTCAGACCATCCCAATTCCGATTCCTCAACCCACCAAAATGCAGCGTTTCGTTTCGATGTGTTCTTTGTTTCCAATTAAATTAAATTAAATTAAATTACCTGAAAATTTGGGAATTTGTGAAGATAGCAGTCACCTTCTTCTACGTCGGGAAGCAGTGGTTCCTCTTCTTCACCACCACCTGATAGGATCAGACATGGTAAAAGGTAAATTGCAAGAAAGTAAATGCAGAAAATGGAAAAGGAAATCAAAAGAAATTCATATCTTCATTCATAGTCTCTTGTTATCATAAAAATGGTTTAAATTAAATACAAATAGTTAGGGTTTGAGATATTGATGGGCCTAATAGTATTACGTAAGTAATGAGCCTAATGGACAGTAATGGTAATAGGTGATCTAACTAATCATAACCAAAGCTCAATAGCTTAGAGTCGCATCAATCCCACCCCCTTAAGATGAGGCTTGTCCTCAAGCCTCTCAAACTGAGAAAGACGCAAGCAGCAGTCGGGAAAGAGGCCATCCAATTTGTCCAATTGTGTACCATACTCATGTGCAGTATTAGCTTTTGTATGGTCTTTAAATCACGAACCATGTCCTTCCAAAACTTTTTCAGTGTGTTCACCCAAAAAACAAAGATCATTAACTCATATCCTGCCAAAATGAAATCATGTAGATTTGCCAAATACTTTGAGATGGAATAAAAGAATTGGAGCACACTAATCTTGACAGCATTGAGCAGGAGAACAATCAGCTTTGTTGCATCACCGACCACCAACTTCGGTGGTAGATAGATTGCATTAAAGATGACCAATACCCCATTGTAAGTGAATGAATTGCAGTCTAGTACCCAAAAAGAATGACAATTGTTGTCCAAATGGTTTTCTGCATTTTGTGCAGCTGATACCCGAGTCTCAGTAATTATGGTCAAGAGTAGACAACTTCGAATATTGGCATTCAGATTTTTAGGCTCAGTAACTCCCATTAGTTGGTCAATCCAACTTGTAGCGCTGCGGACAATGAGATCACTGTTGGTGCAAGCTGCAGAGCAAACATGTCTGATCCAAGCTGCAGATGAACTATCACTCATGAGGAACCATATTACAGCCGACTCATTACTCTGGACTGCATGGGTGAATAAGTGGATCAGATAAGCATTTCTCTTCCACTCTGTGTTGTTTGACCTCTGTCCACCTCGTGAAAGTAATGTTTGCATTCCTTCCCCATAAAGAATATGGATCATGTTCACCAAAGCTAAAGCAATCAGAAGAGTGTTATGGTTACATTCACGTCGAACATAATACAATTTCCAGCCATTAATAATAATTTCTGTGTACACCAGAGAAAACCATCTTCCAAATTCTAGTATGGCTCTCATATTTGCCAAGGTAACTCGCACTTTGGCATGATGATAAAAAAGATCAGTTACAACAAAATTTCTGCTCAACACTTCACTCCATGTGAACAATGACACGAAAGCTATCTGTTTCTCAACCCATTTGGCAATAAACAAAACATTCACATTCAACCATTAACGAAAGGTGGCAGCAACTTGAGTTATCATCCCCACAAAGACATTATCTAATTCATGCTTACGAAGGTGAAAAACCAAACCATGAACAAAAGTGGTCACTGGAGGCTGAACATGAGTAGGAGACATAGAAGTAGCAGGACCAGAAAAATAACTCTCCATTAAAAGAACATGAGTTGTATGAGTCATAAAAACATCTGCCATAAGATCAACGTTACATGAAACACTGAAGTGGCACCATGTTACATATTCCTCACTATCCCAATACTTGTCAAAAGCAGTTCTCAAAACAATGAAATCAATACGAAAGATAAGAAAAACATGTCTTTGATTTTCAGAACTAATATAGGTGGCTGCCATTGGATTCATGTACTTAAACATAACTCCTGTGAACGGTAAAAGCCTCTGTAACTTCATGAGAGATTCCATGTTCAGCGCACCTTTATGATGCATACCAATAAGTTGTGTTATCCAGCTTATCCACACGTTCTCAAATATTTCCATGAATTTCTCAACTGGCTTGAAGTGGTACACCATATTTTCCTTGCTCGAGACTATTTGGAAATGTCTACAAATAATAGAAAAATCTTCAAAGGGCAGAAACACTGCTGTAAGAATCAAGATTGGTGGTCTTGTAATATGTAAATTGCTCCGTTCGAAAGCCAAGAGAGAGAGCTCTAGACTTACAGGAGACAAAAGTGTAATGTCCACAATGCTCAATTGATCCGAAACAATTTTAATACTTGTTTCTGTCAACTGACACAGTTGCCTAAACACATCCTTGACAATCTGTAGTTGTCGTAGAACCCCTCCCTCATCAAACGGAAACCTCAACATTCGTATTGCCCTTAAAGCTCTCAAAGCACAGCTTGTATACTCATTAATAGCCAAACCAGACTTAAATTGTTCCATAAGGTCCAAGGTGAGAAAATTAGGCATTGGGTCCTTAATTCTTCTTTTTGGCATTCCATCAAACATCTGGATTGCATGGATATCCGACAAGAGTGAGAAAATCAAATTGAACTTGCAAGTTTATGCTTTGCTCGAGCCGATTTAAGCAACGTTTTTGGAGATGTGTGGCGAACACCTCGACCATGCTGAAGACATTTCTTGCTGTAGGAGCTGTATGCACTTTCGAATCGGGACCCAAGTCGAGTTCGTAAGGAGATCCCTGATGGGGGTCATTAAATCGTAGACGGTTCTCGGAATCGAAAACCCACGAATTTTGTTCATATGACGATGGGGAGTAAATTTGGGGATAGTGAAAATTAGGGTTTGTGGCGTAGAAATGAGGGATTGGAGGGACATCCATGGAGTCCGAATACATAACAGAAGGTGGTGCAGGGTGCGGGAGGAAAATGGGACTGGTATATGAAGGAGCTACGTGAAGCTCAGGCATATATGAGGCTTGGTAATCTGGTGGTAGATAGGTAGGATCAGAAGAAGGAAAGGTGGGTTTATACTCGAATGGAATGTGGTATTGATCGGGAGGAGGATGAGGTGGAGGTGGTTTTGGATGTTCATACTGGAATCATTAATCACACTCGTCCACGGCGCTGGAAGTGTGGGATCGACGGGTCCAAACCACAGAGCCGCGGTGGATCTCTGGCTCTGGTACCAATTGATAGGATCAGACATGGTAAAAGGTAAATTGCAAGAAAGTAAATGCAGGAAATGGAAAAGGACATTAAAGGAAATTCATATCTTGTCTCTTGTCATCGTAAAAAAGTTTAAATATACTTAAAGATAACTAGGATTTGAGGTATGGATGGGCCTAATAGTATTACCCAAGTAATGAGCCTAATGGATAGTAATGACAATAGGTGGTCTAACTAGTCATAACCAAAGTTTAATAGCTTAGAGTCGCATCACCACCACGTGTCGAGCACGCTCCACCGTCTCTGTCTCGCCCAATCTAGACAAGCCTTTCAACCTCTCTGCCCTCATAAACGAAACCCTAGCTCCACCTCTACTGTTTTCGCCTCCTCCGTCTCCGCCTCATCCTTCTTTGCTGTCGCCTAATGTGGTCTAGAGGTTCGGCATCGTCGATGAGAACGACACCATGTCTGATGAGTTCGAGGTCAAGGATTTCAATCCTGATGAGGTGTTGGGGAATTGGGGCAACCAGAACGGGACTGTGGCGAAGAGTAAGATGGGAGAACCTGCGATTAAAAGCAGCACAAACTCACCCAAAATATTTCGAATCACACCCCGAGGACCTCCCCTTCCCAACCGTTGCATTGAAGGCTCGGTCTCTATTCAATTTTAACCAACCAAAAGCCGGTTTAGACCAACTTGCCCAATTTATCATGCACAACAATATCCTATTTAATTATCATATAATAATAGCATTTTTTAGTACAAAATCACATCCACTCTCCTTTTCTTTTTCATTGTTGCTTATGGTTTGGTGATCATGTCATTGGTAAACTCAAATGCGATCAAAAGGTGCAGACTTTGGTAGATAAAACTAAAATAAGATGTTAAAAGTCGAATATATCCTCCCATTAAAGTAGAATATTTATGCATATTTTTAAAGCAGAATATCGTTGTATGAAAAAGAATAAAATAAAATAAAATAAGGAGATGTCATAGATATTATTACTTTTTAATCAGAAAGATCTTCACATTTTCCCTAGCATTGTAGTTCGGCGCTTACTAAAGAACAATTGGAAAATTGAAATAAGTAACAGGAATTTAATTTGGTGCTTATGAGAGGAAAAGTGCAAGAAATTTAAAGGTCAAACATATATATTGACTACATACCGAGTGAAAAGAAGAAGATGGTAATGGCTACTGCAACGATTAAGTTCTTGGTAATGAGGGAGAGATAACAACGGGCCATTTCTATTTACTTTCGATTTCAAATGATTGTAATGCTACATATGGCTCTGAGATTGTGACGGTATTTATAGGATTAGGAACATATCTTAATCAAGAAACATAATATTAGATTCATTCATGCACACATAGTATTAGGTTTTGCTTTCCATCCACAGTTTTGAATAAGATTTGATAAATACGGTTTTGAATCATTTGACATTAAAATCTTAGTAGAAAAGAATATCACTAGACCGTAATATTAAGTGGCAATTCTACTAAGATTTTAAATACAAATGATTCAAAACTTTATTTGTCAAATCTCGTTAATTATTCAAAACTGTGGATTGGAAAGGAAATTAAATTTTAACCTAATATTATGTTTGTTAATTAAGATCTGCTCCTAATCCTATAAATACCATCACCATCTCAAGGCCATGTAGCATTACAATTAGTTGAAATAGAAGTTCCACCTCAAAGACCATTCTTGTAAAACGTTAGTCAAATAAAAAATATATGAAGCATCTAATTGAGTTCAAAGAAATTTACAACACAATGTTAAAAAAATATTGAAATTTTATCGTGACAATTAAATTGGAAAATAGTTTCGGACTGAATTGAATTTTTTGCAAGGATGATCTAGGAATCGAGACTTACAAAGACGATTCGAATTGTTGAAGTTCTATGTGAAGTAGGTCCCACAACTAATCTTTTTTTTTTTTAAATAGAAATCTCTTCCCTTAAAGGGTCTGAACCTATATATATTAGGCTAGTGTTGAACCATGATAATGAATTAGTTAAACAAAAAATGTTAAGGTTGTTATTTAAAACAACCCTAAATATTAAACCGTAAACCCACTTCAATTAATATGAAACAATTAAACATGACACCCTAATGAGGTGTAACTTTCTTTTTTAATATAATAAGACCCTCACCGATTTTTGTTTTTTTTAAAGAAAAAAAAAATATATGAATCTCTTTTGGTTGTTGCATTAGGTCGAAATCCTTGCAAAACAAACACTAGGATATACTCCATTCAGAATTTACTGATAATTTCTTGCATACAAGAAACTCGACGTACTGTTAAAACTTAAAATGTACTGATAACTTATTACAAACATATTCAAATACTTTAATTTCAAGAACTATTCAATCATAAGTTCCTTTGAAAACGAGCCACTTTCACTGCAATTGCTAACATTGCCTTATCCTTGATGGCATCAAACCATCGAAAATAAGCATGCCTCCATGACTTCTTCAGAAACAATGTGTCACAAACGCTCCAAAAGCCTACAATAAAGCCGAGTGTCGAGCTAACAAAGAACCACAACTCATCATGTCCATCTTCATTGTCATTGTCTTTTGGATCCTTGGTTGTCGGATTGCCACCTTCCGAGCATGCAATAGAAAGAGGAAACCCGCAAAGTAACGGGTTGCCCTCGTAAGTGGATTCGGGCAGTGTTTGCAGCTGGTTGCCCAAAGGAATTCTACCACTCAAGTTGTTATACGATAGATTCAAGTAGGACAAGAAGGTCAAGTATGAAAGGCTCTGAGGAATCTGTCCCGAAAGTTGGTTGAGCGAGAGATCAAGATTTTGGAGCTGCACCAACTTTCCAATCTCCAAGGGAATGTCTCCACTTAATTGATTCATTGATAAGTTCAAGTTGATCAGCAGGACGAGGGTGCCTATTTCTTCAGGGATTTCACCTTCAAGGTTGTTCACAGAAAGATCAATGCTTTTTACAAACATCAGAGATGTGTTATACTGGAGTGCTCTTCCTTTCATCACTGTTGTTTGTTGATCGTACTCCAGATATATGTTATAAGCACTGTTATAAGCAACTTTCAGAGCAGTGACATTATTCAGGCACTTGGGAATGGTCCCTGAAAAGCTGTTGAGAGCAAGGTGTTGAATAAGAAGAGTATCCAAGATAACTCTAATGATCCCAAGAAGAAGAAAATAGAACACACTCTTAAAGAAAGCTCACAAAACAAACTAGTTAGCAAAGCTTTTCTTATTTAGCTCTAGGCTTTGTTTTTCTTTGGATGATTTACAATGCTTGAGGACTTGGGTATTTATAGCAAACCAAATGAATAAACTAAGATTATTTATTACCACACA